TTGGCCCATAGCAAAGACTGGTTTTTGTGAGCTCCAGAGCCAGCCAGAATCTTTCCCCATTTTTTAAAAAAATTCAAAACATGTTTTCCTACTTAGAGTGTAAAAAAACAATTGCTTACAGCACAAGGTGGCTGGTGGAGGTTTGTGAATTACACTCATCCCCATGAAGAGAGGCCTAGCTAAACACCTCAGTGTCAGAAATCCATTTAGGATTGCCTGTTCTTTGAAAATCAGGGCTGTTTAGCTGCCCGATTCACTCACTAACAAACCAGAAAACTCAAGTCTGGTCCCTCCACCTCTGCCAGCCCCTACTGCCTCTGCTCCAGTCTCAGAGAAGTGGGGGATTTCACTTCCAGAGGCTGTTAAAGAAACTAGAGCAGTATGTAGTGTCCCTCTTTATCCCTTTTGATTAACTTTGGCTTGAAATCTATTTTATTTGATATGAGTATGGACACTCCTGCTTGTTTCTGAGGTCCATGAGTGATATGATTTTTCCCAACCTTTCACCTTCAGCCTATGTATGTCTTTTCCTATCAAATGCGTCTCCTGTAGGCAGCATATTGTTGGATCTTTTTTTTTTTTTTTGATCCATTCTACTAGCCTGTGTCTCTTAATTGGTGAGTTTAAGCCATTAACAATTAGGGTTATTATTGAGATATGGATTGTTCTTCCAGCCATATTTGTTTATTTATGTTACTTAACATGGTTTGTTTTTCCTCTTTGATTATTTTTTTCCCTTTACTGTCCTACCTCCCGCTGTTGGTTTTCATTGTTATTTTCCATTTCCTCTTCCTGTAATGTTTTGCCGAGGATGTAAATGTGGCATTTATACACAATGGAGTATTACTCTGCATTAAAAAATGACAAAATCATGGCATTTGCAGGGAAATGGATGGCATTAGAGCAGATTATGCTAAGTGAAGCTAGCCAATCCCTAAAAAACAAATGCCAAATGTCTTCTTTGATATAAGGAGAGCAACTAAGAACAGAGTAGGGAGGAAGAGCATGAGAAGAAGATTAACATTAAACAGGGACGAGAGGTGGGAGGGAAAGGGAGAGAGAAGGGTAATTGCATGGAAATGGAAGGAGACCCTCATTGTTATACATAATTACATACAAGAGGAAGTGAGAGGAAAGGGAAAAAAAAACAAGGGGGAGAAATGAATTACAGTAGATGGGGTAGAGAGAGAAGATGGGAGGGGAGGGGAGGAGAGGGGGGATAGTACAGGATAGGAAAGGCAGCAGAATACAACAGACACTAGTATGGCAATATGTGAAACAGTGGATGTGTAACCGATGTGATTCTGCAATCTGTATACGGGGTAAAAATGGGAGTTCATAACCCACTTGAATCAAATGTGTGAAATATGATATGTCAAGAACTATGTAATGTTTTGAACAACCAACAATAAAAATTAAAAAAAAGAAACTAGAGGTGAGGTTTATTTCTACAGTGATACCCCAAACTTCATCAGGAACATTGAAGTCTGTTTTTTTTTGTTTGTTTGTTTTTTGCTGTTGCAATTATCATTTCACCTCTGCTTTCCCTGACACACCGGTGAAGGATCACCAAACACTGTATCACATCAACTTTTTAAAACTGTCAACACTGCTAATGTCTGAGACCTCCTGATGGCATAGCCTTGCATAGGCTTGAAGTGCACAAAAGCATAGCTTGAGTTTACCAGCATGGTGGCCACACCTGTACAGTGGGGTGGAGAGTCTTGTTGAAATAAGACAAACAAAGCCTTTGAAATGAGGTGTGTGGCAGGGGTGTTGGGGGAGCCTATTTCAGTCTACTTCCGGGTCCACAGCAAGACCAGCCCCTTAACCTCACCACAAGAGCAAGGCAATCATTCCTTCCAATCTCTCTACCCACTTTTATTCATGATAGGAATTTCCCCATACCCTAGAATTTTAAAAGAAAATATTTTAAGAGAAAATTAAATTCCATGAGCATCTATTTCACTCCCAGATCCACCCCCTCCCCCCAAAAAAAATCAATAAACATTATTCAGGCAACTGTTCATACCACTTTTTTGATTCTGGGTACAGAAAAGGCATTTATTGAAAAACTGGAATGTATGTGGTTTTGGTCATATGATAGAAAGTAGTATATAACCAAGTGGTCATGCACAAAGTCCTGCAGCCTCACTACCTGGTGTGAATCTTGCCCACTACCTCTTCTTGTTAACAGATTTCCTGATTTCATGAACTTAGGTTTTATATACACATAACAAGCCCCACACTGTTTTGCTATTTACTACTGATGTTGTATAGTTTGGAATTTTGTAGTTTGAATCTATAAGTGTGTTGATTCATGCATAGTTTTTGGGCCTTCCAACCTAAGGAAGATTCAATGAGATGGATAATTTAGACTTCAGGCTGGGAAAAAAAAAATATTGGCTAACTTTAGTCTTATTCTGTACCTAGTAGAATGAAAGATTAAAAGCCTGCAAAGGGCCATTGGGATACTCCATGAAAATAACAGAAAAAATTATGAGTTTGAGAACTGGTAAGTTTGGCATCAAAATCCACTATAGTTCAGAGTCCATGCCAGAAGTGGGGAAAAAAAGTCTTCTTTGCTTAACCTTTATGTCAACATCAAAGAATGTTTTATTAAAGTGGAGGAGACAGTTTTCCTTAAATGTTTTCTGGTATTGAGGGTTGTTGTTTTGGATCCTGGGGATTGAAGCCAGGGGTACTCTACCACTGAATTATATCCCAGTCTTTTTCATCTTTTATTTTGAGACAGGGTCTCACTAAATTGCTGAGGCTGGCCTGGAACTTGTGATCCTCCTTCCTCAGCTTCCTCCTGAGTTAGAATTATAGGCCTGCACAACCACACCCGGCTTCTTAACTGTTTTTTTTCTCCTTGTAATAAAAGCAACTTAGAGCTAATGGTGTGTTATAGTAATTTATTTACAAATTTTGATATCTTTTTGGACTAGCAATTAATGAGAAAATAGGAACTACAGCCAACAAATTTTTAAAAATCAGCTTAGAATTGTTTGGATGTAATTAAAAGTATAATCTGTTCCATTTGAATACCTCAGTGCTCTCCGATCTTAAAACAACAAATATAAATATTAGTTCTTTCATGGTATGTATGTTTTTCACATATGCTAGGCTACGTTAAAATTTTCTATAAAAATTGTCATGCTTGGGGTTGGTAGAGTGCTTGCCTAGCATGCACAAAGCCCTGGGTTTGATACCCAGCCCTGAAAACAAAAGAAAGCATGAGAGAGAGAGAGAGAGAGAGAGATCTTTTTTACTTTTACAAGTATACAATGAATTTTATGTAAGCTAACTCATTGGCTTTTTATGTGGCTCAAGTTACAGTTCATTCAAACATTTTAAACATACCATTTACTAGTTTATATGAAGTGTATTTCTTCATTTTGCTTTCTGAACTGATATGATTATTAAGTCTTGCTCTGTTTTCTCAGCAACAACTAGTGGGCAGAGTTCTTATCAATTTACACTTAATAATTCATCATGAAGTAGCCGAGATTCCCTAAGACCCAAAAGTATTTATTTTAGAGCAAGGCTGAAATATGTAGGCAAACTGAATGAGTTGGCATTTCAGGTGGATAAAGACAAAGCATGATGCTTTAATTTTTTAAGGGAAAAGAAACTAGTTATAGCTCATAGAATGAAATATATCATTGTTGCACTCCAACAATTTGTAAGGCCATTCTACCCAAATGCCCCAAATTGTCAAGAGTTCAAAAAGCAATTCTAGTACTTTCGGTCTTAATAAAATTGACCTGCCATGTTGGAGGTTGAGGCAAAAGGAAAATAAGCAATACCAATATGACCTTTATTTTAAATTATGATATTTTGTTTATCATGTTTTTTTTTTGCATTCATTTTATTTTTTTTAAACTGCATTCAAACATTAACTAGAGGATTTTTTTGGCACACCCTAATATTTACACTCCAAGTGAGTGCCCACTCAATTTAGCCTTGGCTCTGCTTAATAAATCACCTCTCTGAACTTCAATTACCTCATCTGTAAAACTGAAGTAATTAATAATAATTGAAAGGATTACTGTGAGGACTGAATGAGATTGCATGTGTAAGTACTTGTTCACTGTAAATGTTTATGTATAAATACACTTACAATGCTTTATGTAACTCTGAGACAAAGTTATTATATTAAACAGTATATTTAAAAATGTAAGGTTTATAGGCATTGTAAAGTCCCATGATTGATAACAGAAATTGAAATAGAGGCCTTAGAATGGTATTCAGAATTTGACACACTCATCCCTACCAAACCTTATTTAAAAAAAAAAAAGTTAGACAATTGCAGCCAAGCAATCCATTTTCTTTCCAGGTTTCATAATTAATCTTCATTTGTAAATTCAATTTGTCCTCAGATTTTCTCTTTACAGTTTCTAAAACATTCAATTCACTAAAAATGAGAAATTAATTTAGGAAGAAAGTCTTTAATGTATTCTTAAAAAACATTTAAAAAAATTACAACTCAACACAGGCGAACACCTATAGATATGAAAATTGTTTTTGAAAAAGTTGAGGATGTTAATCTTTTGATTCAAAGCAGGTGGATCCTTCTAGGCCGAAGGAAGGTGAGATGCCTCCTGTTCTCGTGAGCTAATGATTGTTCCCAAGCTGGTTAGAATACAGTGCTAATTGCATTTTAAAACACCACCTCTGAAATCCTCTCCCCTCTCAGGATCTTACATCAATGTTTCGCATTTTCAATAAAACCTTTGCACTTCACCTTTCTCACTCAACAAATCCTGAACTGTAGGTGCGCAGGAAGAATTCAGTTCAGATCCTTCCCCTCCCCAGCAGGCTTTCATCTGGTGGTAGGGATGCTTATGCTCAGGAAAGGCTGTCCTGCCCTGTTTCTGAGGGGACAGAGACAACTGAAGTCAGTACTTTGGTGGCTCAACTCAGGCTGGTTCATTTTAACAGAGAGTCATTAAACAACTTTCCAGTGTCATTCAAAGAACTTATAACAGAATCAATTGATTTTCATCCTATGCTTTATTAGTTGTGATTTAGGAGAGAGAATGGCCCTGTTTACACAGCTGTAACATGTCAGGACCTGTAGTACATTATTGGCTTGAGGCCTCCAAGTTGCAGTCCATTCTCAGCAGAATCAATCTGAACTTGAAAACATTCCCTCTAGGAAACATGCACATATCTACTAGTATAAAGCACTTCTTATACAACTGAAAATAGTATTCACTTGAGTTAAGTCGCAAGTTCTCCTTCCAAAAATTGGCCCTGACTTGTCATCGCTCCCAGCATGTTCTCAGTGGGAACGGAGGGCCACAGATGTATCTTAGCTCGGTACCCAACACTGGTGCATGAGCCACATTCTGCTGCTAGTCAGACCTCAGACTCTGCAAGTGGGAGTCGCTGGCTGCTTAACATGCGTTCAGAGCATTGCCAATCTAAAATGGCTGCTCAGTAATACTTTAATTGCAGTTTCATGGAAACAAATTGCTATTTAACTGCAATAAGCATTTCTGTGACTTGGCTGGACTGACAATAGGTGAGTTTTAGTAACAAAGCCACAAGTAACATTAACTTGTAAATGGTCTGTGTTTCCAATGGCTCTCAAACTAAGTGGGTGGGGGGAGCAACCAGGATTGAACTCCCCAGGGAAGGAGTCTCTGAAACACCGCCTTATAATTTAAATACAATTATTTAGGCTATATGGGAACTGTCGATACATAGCTCTTGGATTCAATATAATTTATTGGCTTTAAGAAATATTTTATATAAATAGTATTGCACATTAGAATCTTACTGTATTGACATTTGAAGCCATTTAATTTAAGAGCTTCATTTTAGATGATTAGTTGTTTCAAATATCAGTGCTAATAAGGGCAAAAGAAAAAGAATTTAAATATAGTTAATATTAAGAGGATGACAATTTCACAGGCTTCATTTTGGTGTGACAGTTTTCTCATTTTGTATTTTATAAGACACTACAGTCCATGTTAAACTATTTCCTAATAAATCATGAAGAGCTGGAAATAGTTTCTGTGGCAAACGATTTGGTTTGGAAAGGCTTCAGGCTCCCCTGCTTTGCAGAATGTGTAAATCTAACTAGACAGATAGGTTAAAAAAAAAAAAAAAAAACATTAAACCCTTTTAGAGGACAATCTTTTTACAAAATTGTTTCATTAGCAAGAGTGACAATTTGCATGATTGAGACATTTATATGTATCATAAACATAATTTTTTATCAGGAGTTCAGCAAGGCTCAGTAGCATTTGCTTTTATTTTGTAATTGCACTTGCTTATAGGGACTGGGACCATCTTGCTCCATGATGTGGTTAATATTAAGTCCTTTCAGAAGAGTGGTGTACACCTCACTAATAACATCACAAATGCAATGGATGAAAGGTGGGTAAGCTCCTGGATTTTTTTTTCTTTTTCCTAAGCTATGCTGGGGTTGGGGAAGGAAGTACAATCACTGCTCACATCAGAATAAACCTGAGTGTTTTTAGTAGCTTTCTATCCACACAGAGCATCCCCATTAGAGACGGGTTTTATTGTTTGAAATGCCTCTGGTTTCAAGAAAGTGTTTTACCTAAAGCAAGACTACTACTTAAATATGTTCTATTGTATATTCATAGCTCCATTAGTCCTTCTCCAATTTAGCACATCAAAGAGAAGGCTTCATCACTTGCATGTGGATTATACTAACATGAGTGACATTTGTAATCTTACAGGTCTGCAACTTAAGAAATGCTTTTAGAAGCTCGTTATTAAATACGCAGCAGTGCTTCAGGAACCAGCCATATAATAGTTCATTTAAAATCTGTAACGACCTTCGCCCTTCATATCACTAAATGCCACACTGTATTACCTATTAAAGTTATTAACCACCTCCTTTGAATTTCTACACTATATGGGACACGAGTGCTTATGCCAAAAAGAATATAGAAGATGCTTGCAATCTTAACACATTTCTCCCTTTACCACTGGAAGAGTCCAAGTTCCTTCAGAAAGCATTGTAAAGAAAAAAAGACATATAACCAGATCAAGTTTGGAGAAATTCCCCAAAGGGTGTAAGTTAAACAGATATTGTTATGCATGTAATTTTTTTCCCCCTGCATTTTCTTTTTATAAAGCTCTGACAAAACAATTCACTTTAACTCTCTGCTTTTAAACTCTCCTACAGGAGGTTTATAGGAGGCTTGCAGTTTGAGCAACTAATTTTTCCTCCATCCTGGAACTCTCTGAAAGCAGGAAGTGAGCACAGAAGTTCTCAAAGGAAAGGAAAACGGATGGTTTAGCTGAGGTGTGCGGAGCTAGACATCTCCATTCTGTCTACTCCTAGTATCAGATGGTTTGGATGAGGGTTTTTTCTAGAGCAAAATAAAATGCCATTTTTGTAAAAAGGAAAGTAGACATATAAACACACCTGGTTGTATTAGCCTGTGCAGAAGCTGTAGTTGAGATTTGCTTACATGCAATGAGCCTGGTGGTACAGGGCCGGTGGGTACCCAGGCCTCTTTGGTTTTTCCTTATTCCAAGACCAGGAGGCTGAGTCCTGGACCCCTCAGGGCACATCTCAGCTGCTGTAGAGACTCTCTGGCCCGGCCCAGCCCAGCCACTGTCTCAAGACTACCACTAAATGAAATTAGAATCCTCGCCCAACAAACATATGCAAAGGCAGAGTCGGTGGAGGAGTGTAAGAGTAAAACAAAATAAACAACTCTCACTCACAGCAGACCACAGGAGTCTAAAAGCTCACCAGGAAACGGCTGCTTTCCCATCGATGATCCTACACAAGAGTTGTAGGGCCCTAAGCTAATGGAACATCAAATACACATAGGTGTGGTTTAGAAATGCTGTTTTAATTTAGGATTTTTTTAATGTTGAGTGGTCTTTGCATTACTGGGATCAATCTGTTGATTCCTGCTGTATTATTTTAATGCTATGTGAACTTTGCATCATATTCACAAACAAAATGGGCATATAATTTTATTTTCTTCATTTTTTTCTGGCTCTGAAATCAGAATTAAACTAATCTTGCAACATGAGTTGAGAAAGTCCTCCCTTCTCTCTACCCCCATTTTCTGGTTACTGGCACAACTTGTATACAATAAAAGTATTTTGAAAGCTTAAAAAAAAAAAAAAAAGCTATAAAACTAAATACAGAACAAGATGGTTGTGCCATATACTTTAACATGCCTTTTGTCAGCACCCAAGGTTTTCCTAGTGAGAAAAAAGAATCAACAAAATAGCTGAAGAATCCAACAAGTATTTATGTGTAAACACAAGACTCATTGTGATATAGAAGTGTAATGAAGTGCGGTAACAGAATATTCTGAACTTATAAAAAGGACTCTGTTAGAAACATTGCTTTGCACCCCTGCCAAAAATGGCACAGATAAGTAATTTTAAAAATGCCTTTTTGGCCCAGAGCTAAATATATATATATATATATCACCTCCCTCACCCCTCAAATTTAAAGTTTTTCATACAACAAATAAAACTAATTTTTTTCCAAAATACAAAAAAAAAAGCAGTGTTTAAACCCAAACTCCATTGAATATTTTTTTCTTTTAAGTTTTTATTATTTAAATACACCATACTAGAGCAAATGTCTCTGAAAATATCACAAATAAAAGATTTTTTTTCTTCATTCAGCAAATTAGAAGTAAGGGGAAATTTCTACACGGTAGCTGCTATGAGCCTGATTTTTTTTTCCAATTTTTTTTCCTTTTTCATTCTTTTTTTTTTTTTTTTTTTTTTTTAAATCTTTGCCATGGGAGTAGCAACATTAGGACAAAAACACTTACATGCATACATACATTGTATTTTACAGAGATACAATAAAAGGGTTTGTGATAGAATTATCACAAAAGCCACATCTCTTTCCTTATCTCATGTTCAGTTTTGATTGAAACACGTTTCCTTACAACACTTAAATATACAAAGAGCAAACAGAATGTTGTTAAGGTAAAACACAGGGTACAAACTCTGGCCAGTGCCCTGCTAATTGTTAATGAGGGTAGAAAGCAGATTTGAATGCTTCTTTTAATTAGCTTCATTAGTCATTTCCCTCCCCCCAAGCTCCCTCCCCCCCCAAAGATGTCCTCCGGTGGATCTTTTTTCATTTTCTCTACAGTCTCCCATTAGCCCAGGTTCATGGAGTCCTTAATGTTCATATTCAGTCATTTTAATACACCAATAAATGCGGGAAGGGCAATCAAGACTAAAGAAGGTGCAATGGCATGGAGCTGGCACTGGTGCTAGCTACAAAGGTGACTTGTCTACTGAAGACACATGGGATCCACCTGTGATGAACAAAATCTGAGATGAAGGCACGCATTCTGCATTACTCTGACCTTTTAGCAGACCTGCAAGAAATAAAAACGGGCATCTTAGCTAAAATGCTAAATTTGAGAGATATTAAACTCAAACACGACTGCTTTTGTCTTTTCTACATTCACTAATCTTTTTTTATTAGATTACTTTCCAACTGTGACTTGATAGAGCCTTTCTATACTACTTACTCCGGCAGTGAAGAACTAAAGCATAACATTTTCTGCAGTTTTACTAGCAGAGAAAATGAGACAGTCAATGGACTTTGAGAAAGTTTTTGGTGTACAGTTCTACAATGAATTACTTAAACTCTGTTAAAGCAAATTTCTCTCCAAAAAGAATTTATTACCTAGTCCTGGAATCTTGGGGCTTTTTTAATCATGAGGACATTCAGAGCCAAGTCCCTACACAGAAAGTTTTGGGTTAACATGCTCACTTGTTGCAAGTACTGAGACTGTGTGTGTCTCTCAGTTTCCTCATCTTTAAATGAAAGCTGAATAAACATTGGCAGTATCATTATTATTCTGTTACCTCCTCGTGACATACTAGCCTTTACCTACAGAGGTGTACGAGTGTGAGTGTATATATGTGTGTGTGAAAAGTTATATGTCCAAATAGGTATTATTTTTCATTTAATATTTCCATTCTGCTCTGTCACTTAATGTTACATTAATATTGTAAATATGTGAATCAATATATGTAATATCTTAATGATGCGTGAGAAATTAAAGAATATAGTTCCACGCAAGTCTAACTTCAACATCTGAAGTTAGAAATGGCAATCCATAGTCGTCAAATACAATCTGCTTGCAATTATGAAAATGAAATAATATATATAAGGTTTTTATGGTTTTTAAATGACATTTTGAGCTTCCCAGGAAGTTCTCGTTTCACCCTTTCCCTAACTTACTAAAAGCCTGAAGTCTATTAGGAACTGCAACCCCCCACTTCCAAGCTAATTAAAGTGGTGGAGGCTTAATTCCCCAGAGTGGAAGCTCAGTGTGAGAAAGGTAATTTGTCTGTCCAGAACAAAGATGCGGCAGCAGCCAGCAAGCATATTTAATAAATGAGCATCAAATGTCCTCTACGATGGACACACACAACACCAATTATGTAACTATGGGGGAACAGTGAAGTGATATGTAAACTAGAAGGCTCACTAAATTTTCCTCTGACTAAAGAGGCGTGATCTAACTCTTATTTTACTGAAAAGCACAGATAATTCTAGGTGGCCCAGTTACACTTTTGAATGGACGAAAAAATTCCAGAGCAGGCAGCAATTTACTAAAGAAAACATTAGCCACAATTCCTGATTTTCATAACATTCTAGAAAGCAACATTCTTCTGAGGTAACCAAGTGCCCTTTAAATGATAGAGGCTATAAAATTTTGTAGATCCTCAAATACTAGTGGTCTCACATTTCAGTATGAAATCTGAGATTTCGATCATTACATGATTGAAAAGCCTAATTTTTTTTTTCCTCAGAATATACAAAAGCCAATGATGCAGAACAACAACTAAACTATATATACTTGCAAAGCTAGAAACAAATTTCAGGAGAATAAAAGTTTGAAGGAACAATTTGATGGGGGCTTTCCATACAATTAACTGCCTTTAAAAAAGGGATGTACTAATAATCAACTCATTATTCTTAAGCCAGAGGATGCTTGAGTATATTTACTATGCTATCGAGCACTAAAAATATAATTGATTCTGAGAACAGAAGGAAAACCACCAAAATAAAAACCAATTTTCCCAACCCCAAATATGGAGAACAAGAGAAAAGAAAATAATAAAATGGAGCTATTTGTCATTTCTTCCCATCTCATCTCCTCCAGAAAGGAAACGCCACAGGGTTTTGAGAAAATAATTTTAAAGCATTCTCCAGGTCCAAAAATCAGTTTATGTTCCACCAGGAAGTGTGTTTTCATTAACTCTTCCCTCTTGCCCTCTCATTAATATCTCTCTGGACCATGTTCAGCTTGCCCAAAACCTTTATTTACAAAAACTACCTTGTGAATTGACTGTGCTCATGGTGAGCGGAGCACCAAGGGCAAAAATGTGAGACATTTATGTCAACAGGGAAATGTTCTTAATTAACATCACCCCCAAAACACAGCTTCTCACCAATGTCTGACAAGAACATTTCCTTAAGTTATATTTCCTTATGCCTTTTAAGAGCTATTAAATTTTGAAAGCCACCTGTCTCTCTCTCTTTTTTTTTGGCTTCCAACATTAAAAAAAATATATACTAGCAGGCCCTTATTCATTGCTTAAACTATATTTTGTGTCCCAAAATGAACAGTCTACCTCTCCCATCCTGAGAGAGGAATAGAAAGCAGAAGATTCCTATGAACAATATACATAATCTTGTAAACACGTAAGCCAGATTTTTCTCTAGTCTCCCTTCCTAGCCCCTCTAAATTTACATCATCTTGTACTCAATAAGATGGCACTGCAACCCTGCTCGTATTTCTTGGGTGTCCTTGGCACTCAGTCCCTAGCTAATATTGCTATTGCCTACATTCAGTGCTTCATAATCGGCTTCATTTTCTATTTCACCTCTCCATCCTTCAATTCTCACCATGCATGTTGGTGAGCTATAACAATCATTTTTTATACTTCACTAAGTCACGAAAGAAATGGTATAAAACCAGCAAGATAACAAGTTAGAGACAACTTGGAGGGGGATTAGGCTTTTCCATTAAAAAGGAGGGGAGTAGAGAAGAGATCCACCATTTTATTCCTAACACTTTTGTCGGTTTTTGTTACCAAGTGTAACTACAAATAGCTTTGCTTCTATTTCAAAATTAGTATCTCAAAGTATTTATTATCCATTCACTGTTCCTGACTCTGTCCTGTATTTTCACTTCTTTCAAATTCAAACCATAAAAATCTGTAAGTATTCATACGTACGAGCGCTCCTTAAAGAAACTTTAATACCCCATCAGAGGTGACTGGTTAATTTGCAATAAAAAATAAGATTTTTTATTTTTAAAATGGCTATTCTATGTAGCTTCTCATATTAGTAAATTAAACAAATAAAGCTACACATAATTTCATGATTAACACTAAATAAAGAATACATTAAAAATTACCCCATAAACTTGAGCAAGGGAAAAAGATAAATACGAGCATTCAATATAGCAGTGTAATTTTAAATGGCTAAGTTTTCAATATTTGTCATTTTCCCCACACAGAGCATTAAGAAAATGCATTACAGACGACAAAGAAGCCTAATATTTTTCCCAGGACTTTTGAAGCTTGCTTAAATTCCTATTTGCAGACAAATGTTGTTTTTTTGT